GGGGTTTCACCATGTTGGTCAGGCTGGTCTCAAACTCCTGACCTCAGGTGATCCACCCACCTTGGCCTCCCAAAGTGCTGGGATTACAGGTGTGAGCCACTGTGCCCGGCCATGTTTTCTTTTTTGATATTGTATGTACATTTAAACAACTGGATTATACTTAGTCCTTTTATAATTTAGAAATCTGGTATGTTTCACTGATATCAGATGTTTCGTTGGTCACGTTTTTCATGTAGAACTTCATAATACGTCTCCCTTGGTTAAGTAAATCTCATAGAAATTTTATGTCTTAGATTTTAAAGTTTTATTTCTAGACTTTATGTAGTTTCTACAACAAAGTCTTTTTGCATATTTATTTATTTATTTCATTTTATTTCTTTGAGACATGGTCTCAGCCTTGCCCATGCTGGAGTGCAGTGGTGCGAACATGGCTCACTGCAGCCTAGATCTGCTGGGCTTATTCAATTCTCCTGCCTTAGCCTCCTGAGTAGCTAGGACTACAGGCACACACCACCATGCCTGGTTAATTTTTTATTTTTTGTGGAGACAAGGTCTTGCCATGTTGTCCAGGCTGGTCTTGAATTCCTAGGTTCAAGAGATCCTCCCTTGGCCTCCCAAAGTGACAGGATTACAGGTGTGAGCGACCACGCCCACCCACTTTTTGCATTTTTAAAACCTGAGCACAGGCCTTGAAATTATACCAACGTTTAAATTCTAGGTGTGATGTGTGACATGGCCAAGGTAGTTACTTTGAATTTTAGTGTTCTCATTTATGAAATGGGAATTGTAATACTGACTTGGTAGGATTGTGAGGATTAAATCAGAATATATGTATAGTGTCTTGCATAATGTGACACATGAATAAATGGTCGTTTATTTTTCCAGGTGGCTGGCCGGAAAGGATTTCCTCATGTGATCTATGCCCGTCTCTGGAGGTGGCCTGATCTTCACAAAAATGAACTAAAGCATGTTAAATATTGTCAGTATGCGTTTGACTTAAAATGTGATAGTGTCTGTGTGAATCCATATCACTATGAACGAGTTGTATCACCTGGAATTGGTAAGTAGACTTTGCTTTTATCCTTAGAAACATAAAGGAAAAATGATCTCAGTAGTGTTTTAATTTTTGTAAGTTAAATTAAATTTGGAAGATAGCCCAGGACTTTAAATATTTTTAATATAAATATTTAAATTTGAATTCAGGAACAAACTTATATTTTGACTACTAAAACCAAGTATTATGTTGACATTTTGCCCATTTAAAACATTGTTTTTAAGAAATAAGATGGAAAACATTATAAGTTTGAATACTTAGTATATGTGTTGTTAGATAGCGTTTATGCTACTTCTGAATTGAAATGGTTCATGAACTTTTGTAATCTCTGGCTTAAATTTACATTCTCTGTTTTTAAATGGAAAATATTTTCATTGTAATGATTGATGTTTTATTTTTTTCCCCTCTTTAAACAATTAAGATCTCTCAGGATTAACACTGCAGAGTAATGGTAGGTAATCTGTTTCTAATTACATTCTCTTTCTTGTGTTTTATCCTCTCTGTTTTTTTGTTGACCTCGAATTAATTAATTTGTGTGGGTGGCAGTAACCTTAATAAGAAAATAACTTATACTGCTTTGGAAATTTAGATGGGGGGGGTGTGTCAGCGTTTAAAACTGGATTTAAATTGGCTATTTACTCTTTGTATTTGAACTGCAATTTATGAATTAAAGTACTCTAAAAAATATGATAGGGGAATGAACCAAAAACAAATACAAAGACTGTTTTTCAAGTTAAGCACTGTTTTTGAAGAAAATCTCACAGAGCCAGTTTAAATGGATGGTAAGTACCCAGAATGTTTGGTAATTTGGAATCATGTATAACATATCCAGTAAAAATACCAGTATTCTAATGTTTCTTCATTTCAGTCTAATTTATTTTTATATAATGTTGAGAATGGTTTAAAATTGTACTCAGATTTGTGTTTTTTCAGTCTTGTTACATTTTGAGTAAATAAATCAAGGCTACTTTAAAAGCATATGCCCATCACAGCTTACCTTATTGAAAAAGTGTTTTAAGGTGAGAAAATGAAACACCAATGGGGGTGTATGTTTTTGTTTTTTAGTGTAATATTTGAGAATGGAGTTTTATTAAATCTTTAGCTCTGTTACTTAGAACTTACTAAAATTTCTGTAAGAACTAATTAATTTGCAGAGAAACTCTTATAAAGAACCACTGTGAGCCAGGTGCAGTGGTTCATGTCTGTAAATCCAGAACTTTGGGAGCCTGAGGCAGGTGGATCATGTGAGGTCAGGAGTTCGAGACCAGCCTGGCCAACATGGTGAAACCCTGTCGCTACTAAAAATATAAAAAATTAGCCAGGTGGGTGCCTGTAATCCCAGCTACTCAGGATACTGAGGCAAGCGAATCACTTGAACCCAGGAGGTGGAGGTTGTAGTGAGCTGAGATCATGCCATTGCCTGGGCAACAAGAGCAAAACTCCATCTCAAAGAAAAGGAACCACTGTCATCTTAGAAAGGTGTGCTGTTGTTCCGGAGGGAAATGAGTAGTAACTTGGGACCTTTTTTGTTTGCACAATTTTAGAGATGGGTTAGAAATACTAGGTGACCTTAACCAAAATTTAGTAAGAGTTTGCAAGTCTTCTTGTTTTTATTTTCCACCTTTCTCCCATATCACTAATGGAGGAAGGAAGACTTAGTGCCTTGTGGTGCTTGTTAGTGATTAGTAGGTTTCTGAGAAGTGTAGGTTTATTATTAGGAGCTGTTGTGGTGGTCTGGGAAGGGTTCCTTTAAGATTGATTAAAGCTCTGCCTCTTTGCCATGCAGACATTGATACCATATAACTTCTTTTTTTTTGAAAGTAAACACACTTCATATCTTCATTTTCCATCCATGTTTTTGGAGAATTAAAACATTTGGCTCAGTAGGTATTCAAGGTAGGGAGACTGCAATGATAAGTGTATCTGAATCTCTCTGTGGGGCTGTTTGTGAGGGGGTTCAAATTCTGAATGCTTATCACACACCTCCCCATCCTAAAATTATTGATGCACTGTTATCAATGGGATTGTATGGGTTGATAGCCTTTCTTTAATGACTCTAGAGCTGTATTCAGCCTTGTAGATCCCCCTAGCGGTGGTTTTGTAAAGGGTGTCTTCAGTGCCGTATTTCCTCAGAAAACAAGGGGTATTTCTCACAGCTCCTTCTAGATTTGGACAAAGGAATAATATAAGACCAGGTAACTAAAAAGTTAAGAAAATGGGACATTTCCTTCATTTTTGAGTTAAAGTCTTGTGGTAATCATTTACACACTGCCTTTTATCTTTCATGAAACTTTCTATGACCAAGTTGACCTATGTATTCATTTTAACAAATATTTAATGAGCACGTACTGCTTGGTAGTAGGTTCCAGGGATGCTAAGATAATAAGGCATGTCTTGTCTACTTAAGTGAGCTTATAGTCTAGTGGAGGAGAGAAAAAAAATAGAGAGTGATAATACCATCAGACAGGTGCTGTGTCCTGCTTGCTGGTGATGATAAAGAATACAGATGTAGGGTGGGCCCAGTGGTTTCAGCTTCTTTGTCACCTATAGAGAGTATATTATTTGACCTTCTCAGAACTTTTTTGTTTTTTGAGACAGAGTTTTGCTCTTGTTGCCCAGGCTGGAATGCAGTGGCACAGTCTTGGCTCTCTGCAACCTCCACCTCCTGGGTTCAAGCAATTCTCCTGCCTCAGCCTCCCGAGTAGCTGGGATTACAGGTGCTCACCACCACACCCAGCTAAAATTTTTTTTGTATTTTTAGTAGAGTTGGGGTTTCACCATGTTGTCCAGGCTGGTCTTGAACTACTGACCTCAGGAGATCCACCCGCCTTGGCCTCCCAAGTTGCTGGGATTACAGGCATGTGCCACCATGCCCAGCCCTCTTAGAACAGTTTGTGATCGATATATATATATATATATGTATGATTACTCTAAGAATATGGTGAAATAACCATAGGTAACACTGAGTACTCATTTTGTGTCAGGTCAGATTGAGCTAAATGATTTCTGAGTATTGTGTTATCATTCTCATGATACTTCTACATGGGAGGTGGGATTATTTATACTTTAACAGATGAAGGGACTGCTACTTGGAGAGGTGAGGGAACTTGCCCAAGAATAGACGACTAGGAGAAGCTGGAGTAATGTTTGCTTGCTATTAGATATTTAAACAACGGAAAAATACTGCAAAAGACTGCAAACTCCATGACAGCAGGGATATTTGTTTTGTTTATGGGTCTATCCCAAGTACTAGAACAGTACCTGGAACATAGGTACTCAAGAAATATCTTTTCAATGAATGCATTTGTGAATAGCCCATAAAAGGAACTATTTAACAATTTGGTGTCTGTTCTTCTGGACTATAAAAAAGATATACTATATGTTTTTTTAATTTTATTTTTTTGAATAGGCAATATATGGTCCATAAATCAAAATACTATAAAAAGGTATACAGTGAAAAGAAGTGCTCCCACCCCTGCCCCCATTCCCCCCTACCTCAGGTAATCACTTTTATTAGTTTCTGGTGTTTCCTTCCAGGGTTTCTATATGCAAAAAATACATACCTCCTTTCTTACACAAAGCGCATACTGTGCATACTATTCTGGACCTTACTTTTTTGCTTACAGTATATGATTTTTTAAACATGCATATGATCATAGTGTACAATAGTGTTTTGTAACTTGTTTTTTTCTCTTGGCAAAAATATATTGCAGACTTTCTATCCTTGTTATTACCTTTAGTTTTACCTAAAAAACAGTTATTATAGAATATCTGGTTAAAGAGATCTGTATACCAGTAGAAGTTTCAAAGTTACATTTGGGAAGTTTAGCCAGCATATTTAAGGCAAGAAAAATTTATGAGTCATAACTATTTAAAAGCAAAATACAGTTGGTACTTAAAGATGTTATGATTGCTGATTAAGCTGAAGAGTCACCTGAAAAGCTGAAGCAGTGAGTATCAAGTTGACCAGTTGTATCCTCAAATCAGCTAGCAAAGCCAGTAGGTTGGTAAAAAGATCCCAGTCATTATAACAACAACAACAACAACCAAAAAAACCCTAAAATGTCCAGGAAGTAATTAGAGATGGCAGGATTTATATGAAGAAAATCATTGAATTTTGTTGAAGGTATAATACAAGGCTGGATAAATGTAGATGTACTGATTTTATGCCCCAAACATTTTTTTTCTTTTTACTATTTTTTATTATTTGGCCAATGTTAGTGATGAGTGATTGGGTTCAGATTTTTTTATTGATACATTTTGTTAAGCATTTAACAATACATTTTTATTGATACAATTTGTTAAGCACCCTTTTGATTATCTTTTTGTTTCCATTACATTTCTAAAGAGGAACTTTGGAATGGGATTTATGGGTCCTCAAAATATCATCTTCATGACTTTGGATGTATGAACTTTTAAGAGGTTTTTAAGAAACTTGCATAATGGATGATTATTATTGCTGTGAAATGTCTCAATTTAATAAAAAATAGCCATTGTAACTTAACTGATATTTACATGTAGTAGATTTGTTTTCAACGGTTGACATAGGGAAAGATAAGGCAAATGATAGGCTGGTTCTTAATGAAAAAAGGAGTGCCTTTTTGTGGTCTACTAATTGATTGCTTTGTGAAGAGAACCTACTGTTAGGTCAGTGGGTTGTTAAGTTCTGGAGTAGTGTTAGTTCAAAAGCAAAAAAGGATTGGTTGCTAAAGATAAAAAGCAAACCTTAAAATAATAACCTAAAAACAAATGGGAAGGTTCTGGGCAGAGAATTAACATTATTAATGCAATTCAGTTTCTGGGTTTTTTTTCCATACAATGGAGCAAATATTTCCTGGTTTGTTAATGGAAAGGTGTTATATCAGCTGGACTAGCTTTGCATGTAAAGGTGTAAGCACATAGGTGAAAGATATTGATTATTGAGTTTTCTCACAACATATATTTATTAAATATTCTTATTTGGGCTGGGTTTCTAGAGGGAAATTTCAGTTTGACTTTTCATTTAGAGTTTTACCTTTTGGTTCTAAATCTATAGGGGACATTTAATACACTTCATTTTTAAAGTGTATTAAAATATTGCTTAACAGTAATTCCAGGTCATGGAATTGGATATCTATCAGATCCCAGTCATATCTCCACAGTGTGAAATTAGCAAAAAGACACAGTTAAGTACCCAATCTCGATTTAGACTGAATAATTGGTTTTCTCAGCTGGATACACATTTCTAGCCATTTGGTTTTTGCTTGCCTTATGTATTTAGGTGATTATTCTTCTAGGTTTATCAAAAAACTGAGGAATACCTTTTATGATTGTTGCTGGAGGCTGTTGGAACTTCATAGACTAGCTTCAAATTTGAGAGTCAGATTGATCAATAACATATATCTGATGCTATTATTGCTAAATAAGTGACTTTTGCTGGTAAAGTAGTATGTTTTAAAATAATATGAAAAAATTCTGAATTAAAGTTAGTTATTTACACTGTAATTGATTTTAGAGATTGTTATATTGCTAATAAGATTTTTTTTTTCTGGGAATAGAAACTTATAAAAATTTAAAATACGTTTAATTTTCTACATAGCTCCATCAAGTATGATGGTGAAGGATGAATATGTTCATGATTTTGAGGGACAGCCATCATTATCCACTGAAGGACATTCAATTCAAACCATCCAGCATCCACCAAGTAATCGTGCGTCAACAGAGACATACAGCACCCCAGCTCTGTTAGCCCCATCTGAGTCTAATGCTACCAGCACTGCCAACTTTCCCAACATTCCTGTGGCTTCCACAAGTGAGTTCTGGAACCCGATGTAGTCAGCAAGTTGAGTTGTCCTGTCACTTGGAGGGAAATGCCAATTAAGTAAACTTTAAAAGTAACTATGGTATCTTTCATAGGTCAACAGGCATTAAATAGATGTATACAATCACTTGGAATTTAAGTAATGGCTTTGATTATAATATTGATTTAAATTAATGATTTGATTATAATATTGATTTAAATTGATCTAATTTGCACTTTACTATTACATGTAGAAGTAGCATCTTCAGCTCTCAGATTTTGGAGAAATATTTAAATAGTTAACAAGTAGTTTTGATCCAAGATGTTTATGAAGGTCTGTGTTAATGGAACTGCAACCTTTCTTTTAATCCAGTATTCTTATTTTGCTTTATCTGGGAGAATATTACTTTATAATTGTCCAATTTTTTTCTTTGTGCAAAGGGATCTTGACAAATTTGTTATATATCCCTCAAAATAGACATTAAGTAATTTAGTCAATTTTGATGTAAAGCTAAATTCTATATCTCTTTTAAAAATATATGTATATATTTTAAAAAGAAGTCTGTTTCAGAAGGATCCTTATTTTCTGCTGTGTCATAGGAGGCAGAGGGTCTACTAGGTTCAGGTTTTTGGGGGCCTGATGATATGATCTGGTTCTGTTATTTTCATAGTAACCAAAGGTTTGATAGTTTGCTGCTTGGCAAATGAAGTAGCTTCCCCACCTGCCCCCCCAGTTAATCATAGAGCATTGTCTTGGCATGTGTATGGTGTTAGCTGCATGCGGTTGCTAAGGGAATTGCATGTAAACCCACATCAGAACAGATTTTTGACAGCTCTGGGCTAATACTGTGTTAGTTGCTACCAAAATAGAATAGTTACCATTATTCTGTTTGCTTTACTGTCAGATTAGATTCAACGTAGAAATTTTGATCTTTAGCTTAAATGGGGGCTGATTTCTGTAATTGTGAGTTTTCAGGTGAAGTATACCAAAATTTCACCTCTTTCATTCATTGTACCACCTTGAACCAGTAGGTTGTTGGTTTGCTATATAAGAGATGACCATCTCAGTATGGGCAGCATATTCTAAATGGGTCATGTAGGTTAAGCACTTACCCAGATCCTTAATCACCTGGTGCTTCTGCTACCTGTCTACTTTTTATTAACCAAATTAGGAATATGGTTGACAAACAGTGAGTAGTGATAGAAAATAAAAGAAGGTACATTTTAGCCACTTGAACGTAATTTTTACTAAAGTGACTTCATTTTGACTGTTTTGTTCCCTGAAGTTGAGTCCCATTCGAAGATTAGAAAAAGCGATATAAATGAAATGGAGCAAATTTTATCCTGGTATTTATTGGGTAGATTTAAATACTTGAATACTGTAAATACTGTAAGTTTTAGAACGTGTCAAAATGTTCCCTTAGATTTCAAAAAGTATATTGATAACATTAAATGAAAGAAAAGAAGTTGAACTAAAATAGAAGATTTGGAAGGCTGTTTTACATGAGCTGATTTAGTTGTATTAAATTGTTTAACCTTAATTTACATTCTTAGAATTGTATAAGGAACTATTCAGTTTGGATAACTACAGTGGGTCACTTTACAATTTATGTTCATTTGACACCTGAATATTTTAAGAATTTCCTTCTAAATACCTGTAAATTAAAATAACTTATCTTGTGTAGTTAGTGACAATTTTTGTAAGTTAGCTAAGAGTATGTAGCATGTAGAATTGTTAAAAACATGGACAAAACCGTAATTAACCTTTAAGGATAACTTGCAGAATCTGGGGGATGAGTAGGAAGGGAGGTTGCTAAGATGTCATCTTTACAAGTAAATAATTTGGGAGTGTTGAAATATTCTCTTTAGCTTTTGGTTTTGTAATTCTTAGCTTTAAGGAAATGTGACATGTAGAGAAAAGAAAAATATTTCTTTTCTTTGATACTTTGAGCAGTGGTGACATTTACTCTCTTCCATCAGATTATATTCCCATTTAGAAAAGAATGAGGTGATGCCAGTGAAAAAATAATTATAAATTTAGTGCTTTCCAAATGGGATAAGCAGTTGACTTAATTACCACTCTTTAAGAAATCAAGTTTTTTTTTACTTTAAAAAAGAAGCCTTAAAAATGTAGGACAGTAAGCAATATCATAGAATGGTTTTTGAATAGAATAGAAGCCAAGAGAGACTTGATTCTCTTGGTATATTACATAGAGAAAGGGCAACTAATTTTTTGTAAATCTAATATGGTGATGTTCTTGAAAAGAAATGATTCTTGGTTTATAAAAGCTCTTGAAAAAATTTCAAAGTATAGTGATAGTTTTTTGTTTTGTTTTGTTTTTAACCAATAAATGGTATATTGATTGGGCAGCAGAGCTAGATCTTTTTAACTTCCTCATCTTCACCATCACATCCTATTTAAAATAATTTCCTGCTCAGCTTTTCTCTGTCAAACCCTAGCATTCTCTCTACCAATACCATGCTGATAATGATTAACTTTTCAGTTTTCAACATTTTCTTGAGTCTGGATTTTTGGGGTCCTAATCAGAAAGGTCCAGAGAGAGCTGATAGAGTGGCCAGGGATGAACTGATTACTTCTGAAGAAGTTAAAATGATGGGCCAGACAGTGGTGTTTTGCTGGTATTTGAAATATGTTTGTGAAGAAATAAGCCACTAAAATTAGCGAGAAAATGACCTAAAATGGAATAATTTTGAGCTTCATCTAGTTAAGATTTGCCTTTATAGATGACTTTAGGTTTTTTACCTGAAAGGCCATGGGTGAGTTACACTTTTTGCCCATCTTTATAGTTGTGCATTATCAGATAAAATTGGTCCTTCATTTAGTATATGAAATCATAAGATGACATCTATGAATGTACCGTGTTAATGTCTTCTTGTTCCTCTAGGTCAGCCTGCCAGTATACTGGGGGGCAGCCATAGTGAAGGACTGTTGCAGATAGCATCAGGGCCTCAGCCAGGACAGCAGCAGAATGGATTTACTGGTCAGCCAGCTACTTACCATCATAGTATGTACATACTTTAAAAAAATCTTTTAAATAGTTGAGAAAAAAGTAGGCAGCCTTTATAAAAGCAAATTAACCCATGTGGGCCTTAATTTTTAGACAGCACTACCACCTGGACTGGAAGTAGGACTGCACCATACACACCTAATTTGCCTCACCACCAAAACGGCCATCTTCAGCACCACCCGCCTATGCCGCCCCATCCCGGACATTACTGTAAGCTCTTGTTTTTGTTGTAAGGGCTTTTTTTTTTTCTTTTTTTTTGGTAGGGCTTTGTTTTCTTTTCTTTTCTTTTCTTTTCTTTTTTTTTTTTTTTTTTTTTTTTTTTTTTTTTTTTTTTTTTTTTTTTTTTTTTTTCATTATAAATAGTGATTTTCAGTATTTTTTGTGAACAGTATTATTTTTCATAGTTACACCTTTTTAGAGGAGTAATGTTTGCTGAATACATTTATTTCTCTGTTGCTAATGTTTCATTAACATCACATTGATTTCCATTCATTTGTTTGTTTGCTTTGTATATGTTCTTAGATCTCATGTGTGTCTTGTATATCCACCCATAATGGATTGAAACCCTTCGAGCACTAAGTTCTCAAGGTTTCCCTTAGCATAATATTCATTGTACTTTGGATAATGTTGAATCTATCAATAACTCTGTGCCAGCATGATTGGGAGGAATACCCTACAGATAGCCTCTAGTTTCAGGTAGAATAGGAGAATTGTTCATATGGCTTAGTAAAATCAATCTCATTATAATATTAATAGTATCAAAGAAAACTTAGACAATATAGAAAAGGGTAAATAAGAAAAGCAAAATTACCCTGAATCCTGCTACTCAAAAATAGCCACTTCTAATATTTTGTCATTTTCCTTCCAGTCATATAAACAGGTATATGTCAGTTGACAGAGGGCACCTACTATATGTGTATTGTATATATCTTGCTTCTTTTCAGTTATGTTACTGTTTTTTCTATTTCTTAAGAGAACGTAATTTTTAATGGCTCCCTGGGCCATCATAGTGGTTAAGAGTGTTGGGTTTGGACCTTTAACTGGCTCTGTGACCATTGACAAGTTACTTCACCTCATTAAGCCTCAAGAGTAATATTACCTGTAGTAGTGTCTACCTCAAGGGGTGTTTGTAAGAAGTAAATGTAATAATTTATGTGAGGTGTTTAGCACTGTGTCTTAACACATAACAAGTTTTCAATTATGTTAGCTACAATTTTATTATATAACATCCTTAATTAACATAAGCACTTGTTTTTAGGATAGACCTCACAGTTTATTATTATACATTGCACTATAAATTGTACTGTATTGCACATTACATGAATAATTCATTTATATTCTGTATTAAATACTGGATGTAAAATTATGTGTAAATTGTGTAATAATAGCACTTGGCAGGTAGCACTAAAATGTTAGTTATTAAATAGCCACAAACTTATTAATAGTTCAATATGATTTGCTTATTGTAAAGTAATTTAAACTTTTAAGTTCTTAGACGTTGCATAAGCTTGTTTTAAACAACTCTTAACCTATAATAGTTATATTTGAGTAAGATTTACCAAAAGTTTTAGCATTAGACAACTTTTAATAAATAAAAATGGAATTTTTGTTGTCTTTTCTTTAGGGCCTGTTCACAATGAGCTTGCATTCCAGCCCCCCATTTCCAATCATCCTGGTAAGTGTATTTAAAAATTGATTCCCTATGTTTAGATTGATTTAGTAGTGATTGAAATGCACAAACACAGGCTTTAATATAATTGTAGAGTCACTTCTCAGATAAGTACAATATTCATTATGACATGAGTTAATCAAACAGAGGCTTTAATGACAATGCGTACTGCTATAAATGCATAACCTCAACTAGTTAATGCTATTTTCTAACCACCAGGAGATGTTGGGCCTAAACACCAGTTCTGCTGTGAAAAGAATGAATTAAGTCTATCAAGAGGCCAAAGGCAACTGCTGAATCAAAAACAGAGGTCCAAATGACTAGCTAAATGGCCCCGCCCCTATCCCCACCTATGGTTCTATCTAGGGTAGGTCTTTCTTCAGAGCCTTGACTACCCTCACTCCTGCAGACTATCTCCCACTGAGCTATACAAACACTGAGATCCCTAAGTTGCTAGGAGCTACTAATGACTCTCAAGGGTGCTGCCAGCAAAAAAATTCTCATTCTTCACACTCTAGATTTTCCTTCTTATCACAATATATTCATTAACATGAATCAAGATTCTGATAATGGTAATTCCATTTATATAATTAAAAAAACAAGTAAAGCCAGATTATTAAACTACACTGTTTAGGAATATATTCATCAGTTTAAAGAGCAAAAAAGGGCTGGGCACAATGGCTTACACCTGTAATCCAGCATTTCGGGAGGCCGAGCGGGGCAGATCACTTGAGGCCAAGAGTTTGAGACCAGCCTGGACAACATGATGAAACCCCATCTCTACTAAAATTACAAAAATTAGCTAGGTGTGGTGGCAGGTGCCTATAATCCCAGCTATTCGGGAGGCTGAGGCAGGAGAATTGTTTGAACCTGGAGGTGGAGGTTGCAGTGAGCTGAATTGCACCACTGCACTCTGCTTGGGCGGCAGAACGAGAGTCCATCTCAAAAAGATATATATATATAAATAAAAATTTAAAAATAAAAAAAAGTGAATCCATAAAAAGCAGGACAGTGGCTACCTCTGGGGAGAAGGGAAGAGAAGGTCTTAACAGAGACAAAATTCATGGGGTAGGAGGGTTTCTGGGATGCTGTAATGTTTTAGTTCTCAATCTGGGTAGTGGTTACATGAGTATTAGTTTTAGTGAAGTTAGACTTTATACTTACTTGTGTTATGTACTTTCCTGTATATTACATTTCTCAAAGTGTTTATGAAAAGGCTAGACCCCTTGACCTACAAAAATGTTTAAAATCACAATATACAATAAAACACAGAAAATCCGTTAAAGAAGATAATAAATATTTATTATCACATATATATTGTTAAAAGAATGCTTCTGCCCCACTAGCCTCACTTTTTTCCTAACTAGAACAAATATTTGCCTCTTAAATCAGCAAAAAGTTTATTAAACTATCACATCTACTGCTAGTGAGCATCGTAAAACTGGTTCTCATACTCTGATGCCACTGTAATGTGGCCTTTTGATCTAGAAATTCTGTAAATCTCTTAAACTAAAATATGAGAAAAGTTACAAACACCGAGGTACTCCCTTCTGTTTTTTTAAACAGCTAGAAGAAAAATTGAAACCAACATAAATAATAACAGAACATTATTTACATGAAGAAAATTATTAACAGAACAGTTATTAAGAATTGTATGTTACCCTTTAATCATTATGGACACTGTGTTTATATTTTTAGAAAATATACTAAGGAATATATACTAAGATACTTACATATAAAACTATTATATGGGATTTGCTTCAAAACAATATAGAATGAAGAAAGAATGTGAGAGTATGAATACAAAAATTAGCTAAGCGTGGTGGTGGCCACCTATAATCCCAGCTACTCGGGAGGCCAGGAGGCGGAGGCTGCAGTGAGCCAAGATTGCACCACTGCACTCCAGCCCGGGTGACAAGAGGAAGACTGCCTCAAAAAAAAAAAAAAAAAAAAAAAAAAAAAAAAAAAAAAAAAAAAAAAAAAAAAAAAAAAAAAAAAAAAAAGAGTGTGAGTGAAACAAGATTGGTCATTAGTTGATAATGGCTGAAACTGAGGAATGAGTACAATGGGGGAACTTCCTGTACCATTCTGGTATGCTTAAAATTCTTTAAGCTTGACTTATAGACAGTGGAGTATTATTCAGCCATGAAAAATAATGAGATTTAGTCACTTGTGACAACGTGAATGGAACTGGAGTTATTATATTAAGTGAAATAAGCCAGGCAGAGAAAGACAAACATCACATGTTCTTATTTGTGGGATCTAAACATCAAAACAATTGAACCCATGGAGACAGAGAGTATTACCAGAGGCTGGGAAAGGTAGTAGTGAGTTTGGGAAGGCGTGGATGGTTAATGGTACAAAAAGTAGTTAGGATGAATAAGGTCTAGTATTTTAGAGCACAACAGGGTGACTGTAGTCAATAATTTAACTGTCCTTTTTAAAATAACAGAGTATAATTAGATTATAACACAAAAGATAAATGCTTGAGGGGATGTGTACCCCATGTTCCAAGATGTGATTATCATGTATTATATGCCTGTATCAAAACAGCTCATGTGCTCCATAAATATATACACTTCCTATGTACCCACAAAGATTAAAAATAAAATCACTTAAAAATACATTTTTTAAATTCGTCAAGCTTGATGTGGTGGCTTATGTCTGTAATCCCAGCACTTTGGGAGGCTGAGGCAGGAGGATCACTTGAGCCTAGGAGTTTGAAACCAGCCTGGGCAACTTAGTGGGATCTCTTGACCTTGTGATCTGCCCGCCTCAGACTCCCAAAGTGCTAGGATTACAGGTGAGATCCACTGCGCCCAGCCCTCATTTTTTTTTTAACCTAGCGTTATAAATATTTGTTTATAACAAAATTTATTATTTGGACTGATTGTGTAAAGACTACTTCTAAGTGCCGTTACTGTTCTTTTTTTTTTTTTTTTTTTTGGGCGCCAAAACATTGGGTAATTGTTATCTTGTCTTAGATGATCTCTGTAGTTTTGGTTTAACCAGCATCCCTATCAGTTGTTTGCTGAAGCTTCTTGTCCATAGCGTAATATAGTAAAAACTTTATATAGTAAAACTTTTTATAGTAAAAACTTTCTATAGTAAAAACTTTAGTTTATATATAAACTAAAGATGTGTCCATCTGTAGTCCCAGCTACATGGGAGGCTGAGATGGGAGGATCACCTGAGTCTGGGAGATCAGGGCTGCAGTGAGCCATAATGCCAATGCACTCCAGCCCAGGCCACAGAGTGAGACCCTGTCTCAAAAATTTAAAAAAAAAAAAATATATATATATATATATATATATGTATTTTTTAAAATTTTTTTGAGATATTTTTGAGATATATTTTTATATTTTAAAAATATAAAAATATATGTTTTGAAAAAAATTTTTCAGGCAGGGTCTCGCTCTGTGGCTTGGGCTGGAGTGCAGTGGCATTATGGCTCACTGCAGCCCTGACTTCCCAGTCTTAGGTGATCCTCCCATCTCAGCCTCCTGTGTAGCTGGGACTACAGATGGACACAACTACACCCAGCCAATTTTTCTATTTTTCATAGAGACAAGGTCTCACCATGTTGCCCAGGTTGGTCTTGAACTCCTGGGCTCATGTGATCTGCCCATTTCGGCCTCCCAAAGTGCTGGGATTACAGGCATGAGCCACCATGCCCGGCTGAAAATAATTTCATAAATACTTCAAAACTGGCTTTTTAAGAAGACACTCAGTGAAGATACTTAGTGTATCACTGGTTTTTATGTTCTAACCATAATAAAATATATTTAAACAAATATTTTGTGACAAATTCATTAGAGTGACATGGCAAAACATTTGGGTTTTTAAGTTTTTGAATTACTCAATCTTCCTGTGATCTGCTTTATTAACTCTTCATTGGAAAGTACTTTATTGCTTGGCAGCATTTTGAAAAGCAGTTAGGGTACATAGCTTTTACAAGTTTTCTTTTCTTTTCTTTTTTCTTTTCTTTTCTTTATTTTCTTTTTTTGAGACGGAGTTTCGCTCTTGTTACCCAGGCTGGAGTGCAATGGCGCGATCTCGGCTCACCGCAACCTCCGCCTCCTGGGTTCATGCAATTCTCCTGCCTCAGCCT